TATATATATATAATAGAAAAGAATAAGCATTTTCATCTAACTCAACATACAGTGAGAATCAATCTTTGTACTTCCAAACAGTATGAAAACAGTGGCAAATCGTCTTGAGTTTAACACCAGAATAATGAATGAAAACTCAATAATGCTGGTGGAGGCATTGCTTGTTCATTTTCACTTTCTCTCTGCTTTTGCTTGACATGTCAACTCACATCCAAAAGGATCACACAAAGTGGATACACTGATACTCCACCTCCTACTCTTCAATTTGTTTTTAACACTTAATAAACATACTTCTCGCTCTCTCTTTTTTTTCCATATTGTGTTGTGTTTTGGGTGGGGTCTTTTTGTTGTTTTTTTATATTTTTTTATGAACTAACAGTTCTAGGCTCATATCAGAAAATATAATTAATAAAATTAATAATGAATCAGAATCCCTTATTATCCATGATATCCATGTAGTACAATGAATTAATGTCTTAACAATCATATATTGTTGGATTTGTCTCCCTTCGCAGTGGTCCATGGTCCTTTTTTGTCAGAGTGGTTGTCACATGGAGTTGTTTTGTCGTAGTTTACAATCAGACGAATAAACGGTCCAGTTTGTGACAAGGAGGGGAACTGGAGGGGGAGGGGGAAACGAAAAGAAAAAAACAAACAAACGCTGGGATTTGCCGTGGGCAAGGCAGCCAACATCAACATCTTGCAGGCGTGGTGGACATATTCAGAGAACACAAGCAAACGAAAGACTGACCCGGCTGCCTTGCTAGGGTTTAATGGGAGATGAGGAACAATGGCCGCTCAGCCCAATGTACTGGTTGGTTCCCAATACTAAATACTTGTCCATGGAAGGGTGAAAAGAAAAGAGAGGGAAAGAGGGAGGAGAGAGAAAAAAAAATAGAAAGAAAGAAAACAAAACACTCAGTCGCGTTGAAACATCAGTAGAACAATTTGGACTCTTCTTCTTGTTTGCTTAAATTCCCTTCTTTCTCCCCAAGATTTCCTCATAATATATTCTCTTTACTATTATGATTTTTTTTAATAATTTTTAATATTCTTCTTTCTCTTCTTCTCTTTATCACCATGGTTGACAGGGTCAAAACTTGAACAGGAAGTGTAACAGAAGGAAGGGAAGCAGCCAGGTACAGCCAGCTCTTCTTGACCCACCACTGTTCCCATCATGTACTGCTCCCGGGCCTGCAGGAAGATAAAAAAGACCTTGTCAGTAACTGGAATAATCAATAGTGGCATCAGTAGAGGAAGGCAGCTACCATAGCAAAAGCTACGGTTATTCACATGGCAGATTCCACAGCTCCTGATCCAAAGCAAAGTTGAGGTTCATTGCCTTGCTTTGTAATCCCAGATTACAACTGTCATAGTATACACTGCATGCTTAAAACGGAAGCAGTCTATGAAATTGCTTATTACAGAAAGTCTTATCTTGTCACTTTGAAACGAATAGCTAAAAAAAACTCTCAGGAAATACTGGGTCAGATTTTCATGAAGTGGGGAATACCCAAAGTGAGTTCGACTTGAAAACTAATTATCCAACAAATTATGGAAAAGCTCTACCTGAAGGTGTCTGCTAAACTATCCCAGCGCTCTTTTCTTCTCATATATAAACACAAGTGTACATCAACATGATCATTTCTGTCGGAAATGATTCGAATGGTTCTTCCCTAAGTAGTCTTACAAAGATTATTCAAATATTTGCCACAAACAATGAATCATATGACATTCCAGCACAACATCTGGTGTAAAATAAATGGTGTCCTCAGAAAAATGAATTGTATAGATCCTCGATATGTTTGCAAATATGTGATTCATGTATTTCTAGTCCTTCGTATTAATTTAAATGATGGCATTACACAATTTTTTTTCTATATGCCAAGGTCTTCCAGAAAGGCTCTCCTTTGCATTCTGCCAATGTTGGGACAAGCTAGACCATAAGCCAAGCATGCAGGTAGATGTGGTGCTCCATTATAATGGGTGGCAGATGTCCAGTGGCATAGCACATTATTTTTCTTTACCTGCCTATTTTTTCATTTAGCATGCTTTGCTTTTTTTTTTAAATTGGTCCCTGGAAAGTAAACATGAGCATATTTTGCCAGTCTGATTGCTGAGGCATACATCTCTATGGAAATCCTCTTCTCAAAATGAAAACACATTAACCATAGGGAATAAATATTCTCCTTAATGTATATTTTGCCCCCAAAAGTGTGATTTAATGGGAACACAGTAGAGGGTCTTCTTGTTCCAGTGAGTAGAATTCAGTTCTCCCTTCCTCGTGAAGCCTTTTTTTTTTTTTTTTGCGTTATTGTTCCTGGCCACCTCCCCCTTCTGCCTTAACTCTGGTGGTTTTTAAGTGGCTTCCTCCCAATGCAGTTATCTGTGGTGTTCAAAAATGTGATGCTCTTACTGGGGAATGATTGCATAAGTCTTGAGCATTGTCACTGAATTGTCTGTTCTCCTGTGTTCCCCTTGGGAAGCTCCTTTTGAGCAGAAGCGTCTCTGTATACTTTTAAAACTGTAATTAGTACAGCATAACTGCCAGGATTCCTTGTGTAATATATTGTTCCTAACATGAGATAAATACCAACTTTCTAATGTTAAAAATCCACTTTGTCAACTAATTATTGCTGCCATGATTATTGAAATCCAAGATGGATCCTGGAAACATTGTAACAGGTATGGGATGGAAACGAACACAAAGCTGCAGGAGATAAAAGAATGGAAGTTTTGAACTACTATCAGTTGGCAGCCTGGCATTCCAAAATGACCAGTCATGATGAGTAGCGGCACCTCGAGTCAAGGCTATTAACCACCAATTATCCACTGAGAGTGTTTGAGGACAGAGGCAAACAACCTCCCAGAAATCATCAGTTAATGACTGTCCTGGAATGCCCTGTAACGTTTCCCATCCAGATACTGCTTGTGGTTTGGGCTGCTACAGCACGCTAAGAGCTGCTGCTAGTAGTGACTCCATAACATCCATGCCCTGGGGATTCTGCTGAAGCCACACAAGAGCATCCATCAGCAAATGTTTAAGCCTGTTTTATTCTGGTTGGAATAAACAGCCACTGCTGGTCATGGTAAAGGCAGGTTTCAGTGTCGTTTTAAAGGGTGTTAAGAGAGACCTGGGACTCTCGTATAATTTTGCAAAATGCCTCTCCCCAAGCAGAAATGCTTGTAGTGATAGGAAATGCTCTTATGCTCTGAATTTGTTTTCTTTAAAGAAATACTGTTGCATTTATTTGGATGTCTCTAACACGGTGTGCATGTTCTTTCCAAGGAACACACAATGTATACAAGCCTGCTCCCTTTTGTACATACATATCTGGGAAAACGCAACATTTAAGTAATTTGCTCAGCCAATTAATTTGCTAAAGAGCTTCAAAATGATTTTAAAAGGAGCTGTCTTTTAATTTGCGGGAACACATTTCCCTTCTATTGCTGTTTTGTTTATTTTGTCCCCAACAAAGTTATGCTTGGTTCACAAATGGATCCATGAATGGTTCTAGTTTAGACTTATGGCGTGAACCTAGGCTGTATTATCTAGTGACTTCTAGAAATGTATTTTATCTTTTTCCCTGAAGCATGAAGCTTTGCACACTGCAATTGCAGCCTGCACTTGCAGCAGTTGTTCGCACCGAACAAAATAGACTGGGCTATGCTGTTGTCTTAACATTGGACGTAAGAGTAAGGCTGTTTGGTTTGGGGTTACTTTTCAATAGATGAACACCAAGCCTTGACCAAACTGCTGAGCTATGAAAAGTCTATCACAAATTATGTGTGTGTGTGTGTGTGTGTGACATCCAAAGGAAGGGAGAAAACCACTCAGATTTTTTTTTTTATATTTGTTGTCGTTGGATAGGGATAAAGCAGAGCTCTCATTGACTGGCAGATGTAATATCTCTCTTTCTCAAAACAACTTGTTTTGAAGAGAATATGTCTAGAGAAAAGATGATGTGTGCTCACTGATCGCAGCTAGAAAGGAACTCCAATGACTAATCAGAGTCCACCATGAATATACTATCCAAGAAAACAGATGAAATTGGTCCCAATTTAGGGACTGTGAGCTGAGGCACGGAAAGGTGGTATTTTGGATACAATTAACGCACATTCAAATAAATTATTTATTTATTATTAACAACTATATACCAGTTTTTATTATTATTATTAGAAGCCAGAACAAGCCAGCCACATGGCACATGTTATTTTGATATAGAAGTATAAAGCAAAGATAAGAGATGAAAAGATAATAATAGAGCTATTCAATTATAGTACCATGGAAATAATATTTTAAAGGCAAATCTAAAGAGCAATATCTTGCCTGCTTTAACATTTCTTAGTGTAAACCCTATGGCTGCTCCCTGAATGTATAAAGGGATTCAGCGGGAAAGCATTGCATGAAATGATGTAAGTCAATTGAGCATTCATATCTGTTGCAGTGCAACTGTTTAGGACTCTTTCATTCACACCTGCAATGAAGTGTGTTTTGATGTTGTAGCTCCTGGAGGATGAAAATGGAAGTGTGAACCAGGCTTGCGACTGTAAATATAGAGCAAGACCAGAAAAGCCAGCCTGGTGTTTCTTGCATCACAAATAAGCCATATCAAGAACAGTGAGAAGAGGTTGGGAGAAAGTGGCGAAGCAAGGAGGGCACACAGCAAATGGAAGCAAAAGCTGTGCAAAGAACTCTACTGCATGTTAGGGGGGGGCAAGAAATGAGAACTAGCCGCATTATTCCAAAGTAGACTTGGGCAGGCTACAGGAGAAGCCTTACTACGTGGGGTAGATTCTTTGAAAGCGGGTAGCAGGATATTTTCAGGGATTCAGCAAAGAAGAGGCAGGGGGGTTGGCAAGAAAGCTGACAAGAGGTCATTGCAGTGCATGAAGGATCAGTCCCTTGATGTCCACTTAGCTGCAGTGGGAAAATGCAAAGGAGTGGGAGTGATTCAAGATCAGAATTTGGGGAAGCTTCAGCGGGTTTTTACTAACCTTTCCAGGGTGTCTGGGCTGCAGTTGTCTCTGCTATAAAATTAAACAACAGGTTATCAATAAGGAAAAAGGAAAGCCTTTGTGTGAGTTGACCTGCTCTGAGATATCACATTCAATCTTCCTGCCAACCAGTTTGCAGGGATAGTGGCCCAGTCCCTGGGCAGCATCCCCCACTCCGGTTATGGGCTTTATAGTGTTTAAGCCACAGTCATTTGAAATGGGGTTAATCAATGACAAATTAGTTGTTTGAAGGCTTGAGATGATCCACCTCATTGTTCGTAACCTAGGGTCATAATCTAATTCACTTCTCGTTCTTCTAAACACACCTTCATTTTTGATCTTAGAAAAATGTGTAATTGCATAGTTTGTAAAGAAAGGAAGCACATGTTAACTACCATTTTAACAGAAGGACAAAGGTATCAGTGCAAAGCAAAAGCCATCTGATTAGCATAAATCAAACTCCCACCCCAAACATTACTATTTCAGTGCAAACTACTCAATATGACTCCAAAACAACTGGCTTTCTCTCAACCCTGCCTCCAGAGGTTTATAGAATCAGCAATGTCTGTGTGAAGGAAGGGAATAAAATCAGTGCTGCTTTTACTTGGCCAAAAGGAAATGTATAGCAGAGAAAATTTTGATGATCCAAAAATTAGTGGATTTGTGAGGAGAGGTGAAAGGATCTTGCTGATCCCATTTCCCCCCCACACGTCTAGCCATCTCATGAGTATCTACTGCACTGTGAGCAGTGAATTCTTTAACCCTAATACAAAGTCTTATCTCCCACATAAGACTGATATATGAAAGATTTTTTCCTGCCATGTTTCTAAGACCTGAGCAGGATTGTTAATGATGGGATCCAGTTTGTGGAGTCATGATAAGTCAGGAGTGACTTGACAGCACGTGAAAACAACACATCATGAAATCTGCATGAAAATCATGGATACGGAAAGTAAGAATGGGCTAACAATGAGGTTTTTCTGTAAGAACAATTCGGCAAATGTAAAATACATCCAAAAGCCATCTAATTTATATAGCCATCAATAAAATTATACTATTATAACACAATATACTGCACTTTATTAAAAAAAAGCCTACCCATGAAATGTGCAAAATTTCCCAAGCCGGGGGGGGGGGGGAGGAGATAGATCTTACTGTCTCGTGGTAAAAAGGGGACAATCAAAACAACAAGTAAACAAATTTCTTGGGAACCATAGAAGGATAAATCTAACCAGGATTTGCATCTCTTTGTGTGTAAGGGGAGGTAGAGATAATCCAGGTGTATGTGCATCTTTCAGATTTAACCATACCCTCCTTCGATATATAAATTCCCTTAAGCCTTCTCAGGAGAGAGGATACTTGCTCTTGAGAACTCCTAAATTGTCCTTCTTTGATGTTAAGAGTTTATTACCGTTCTCTGTTTGCTTGTAAACTGGCTTGATGATCACTGTGAGGCTTCTGGAAAGTAATCAGGAAACCTCTGTGCATGCGTGTGTTGGCGTGTGCAGATGCCTGACATCGTTAAATGGTTCTAAAGTTGGGAAGATGAAAGATGGAGATCTCCAGAGGGAATAAGAAAGGTTCTGGGACACTGCACTGATTATTCAGAAGGAAGAGGGTCAAACTCCCAAAGTCAAAATTCTCCATGTATAAAATTCTTCACTTGTCTATCTATTGATGCTCTTTAAGCTTGTCTCTCGCATTTAATCTGTTCTGAAGACACATTGCTCATTTATTTGTTTGCTGATTTACTTCAGGCAGAAAAGAATGTATTTAGCTGGCCTTGGTGTCTTGCAAGAAAGCTACAAGTCTTTCTTTGTCATAGTTGTATACAATACACACACACACACACAGATTTAAAATTGAGGTACTTTAAGACTAACAGGTTTATTTCAGTGTGAATTGTCGTGGATTATATAAGCTGTTTTTGCAGAGCCATGGAATGCAGCCTCTTCTTGACAATAATACTTTACTCTCCTAGTCTGTGGGTGGAAGATTGGGGCTCATTTATAGACAGCTCTTCAAACCTTAAGTAACTGTTGATGGTCAACAGACTGAACAACATGGATCCAGTGACAAAATTGCACCATGCTACAGACCTTTGCCATCTGTGTCTCCTTGTCTATTCTGGCACTACAGGTCCCAGCAATGTTGCTTACGATATCAAGGGTTCATTTATTTGTCCACCTTTTAACATGATAGGTATCATCTTCTGCCAGCAGTGCCCCCACCCCCATTTCTATGTAAGGCAGAGAGGACAGTCTTTGTACATGACAACCAATGGGCACAAACCAGGCATCACATACGCCATTGAACAAAAGCTGGTGTCCAAACATTTCAACACCCCAGGATAGAAATGTTCTGACAGCAGCTTCTTGTGAACTGGCATTTATAATGCCATATTTCTGTATATTGGTAAGCGTAAATTTGGAAGAGACCACGGAGGTGGTTTATATGTATACATTCCAGCATGTATCTAAACAGAAACCGGGGATTTTAGCTTCACTGTATATATATTAACAAGCTGTTTTGTTTTATTTCCATTTTTATGCCACCTTTCTCCCAATGGAGGGACCCAATTTTTCCCTGTCATGTTTCTAAGATGTGGCTTGCAAATTATTTAAAAAACCCCAAACCAACTAGAACAACAATACATTATTTTTTTACACACACACACACACACACACACACACACACACACACACACACACACACACAGACCCACACCCACACACACACACACACACACACACACTTAAAGCTGGTCTGCTGTAAAGAAAATTGATCCCACCACACTTCAACTCATTGTCTTTGAGAAATAAGCAATTATAGTGCCTCGCAGGAAATATTGAGATGTTCTGTGAGGGCCACAGATGGTGGAAGAAGGATGCTGACATCTACAGCTTTTACTTTGTGATTGCATCTGACATATGAAGATGATAGAAAACTCACCTCTGTTTTCTACACCATTAACTGCACTTGCAAATAATCGAACAGTTGAACAAGTGTCTTGTTCACAGAACAAAACAAAGGGGGTGAATAATAGTTAGGAATAATTTAAGCCAAAAAGGATCTGTGTTGGTCTCAAGGCAGAATCTGGGTTCCTGTTGTAGAAATGTGGCGTCTGAGTTTTCTTTTTCTTTTCTCTCTAACCAAAAGAGTTAACATCTAGCTCTCTACGGCTGCAGAGGGAACCTAAAAACATGAAATATAGTATAAACTCATACATATATTCTCCCCTCCATCTTTTTTAAGATCAGCAAGGGAGACTTTGGTCTAAGAATAACAGTTCTTTACAGAAAAAAGAAGAAGACTTAGATCCGTTGTGGTGAAGACGGTCATAGCAGTGACAGACTAACCATGTGCTGCCTGTACTATTAACTCTAAACTTAATTCTAGTCTAGATTTTGTGATGTTGGACAAAGCAGGCAAGGGCTTCTAGTTTGTGAACACTGGCAAAAGCTAAGTGGGTATCATCCTGGCAACTCATCTGGAGGAAAGGTGTAGGGATGTGAAGAAGTCTTTAAAAACCCACCAAATTTTCATTCTTGGAAATGTTCACCTGATTAAGACACACCAATGAGACTCCCCCTTCCGTGAGATTTCCCAGATTCCCTTGAAAATGGAATCCTGGTTTGGTTTTCCCTTTTTACTTTTTCCTCCTATTTTTTGCCTAACAAATCCTGCTCAGCTTGATGCCATTCTGCATAGGACTTGTAATAACCCTGCATGGTTTGGCATTCCTTGCAGCAAAATGGCATAAAAATTTCCACAAGATTTCCTGCAAGATTGCTGGAGCAGAGGTGGCGAAGAGGGGAGGGATCTCTCAGGTGGGCAAACTTTTCCCCCCTTTGTTTTTCTCTGAGACTGAGAAGCTGCAAGAATCACAACCCCTGAAGAGATATGTGGGTCCCTCAAACGACCAGAATACCAAAGTTTAATATATCATTACAGTTCTTTTTAAACAACATGGTTATATGCTGAAAGAATTGGGCATGTTTAGCCTTGAGAAAAGAAGACTGTGGGGTGATATGATAGCACTTCTCAAATATTTTAAAGGCTTAGAGGAGGATCTGTTCTTGACCACACACAAAGGGGCTAAAATTAAAGGAAGCTAGATTTTGGTTGAATGTCAGGAAAAAAAGTCCTAACTGTTAGAGCAGTATGACAGTGGAACCAGTGACCTCGGGAGTTGGTGAGTGCTCCAACACTGGAGGCATTCAAGTAAAACTTAGATAATCACCTAGCAGATATGCTTTGATTGTATGTATTCTTGCATTGAGCAGGGGGTTGGACTTGATGGCCTTGTAGGCCCCTTCCAACTTCACTTTTCTATGATTTTATTATATTATAATTCTGCCTCTCGCCAATATGTAAAAGTAAACTTGAAAATACAGGACAGTTCTGTTCAAGTGTGCATTACGATACAGAAACAGTCCAATATGCTTCCTGGGGTGGGCTCCCCTGTCCACTGTTTCTTCTTTTTGTTTACGCTTTCCATTTTAAACATGTAGCACAGGCATACCATATCTCCTGTTCTTTCTGCATATCAGCAGAAATAATATGTTCTACAGGACAGTGTGTCAAAATGTTTGTACACCACTTCATACAACCTGATGCTTCTGCATACAAGGACATGATCTAGAATCTTAGTCATCAGCATGAAAAGAAGAATAGGAATCATTCATCACACACCCCTTCACAACTCGCTTTGACAAGGAAGAAAGCCTTACATGACCAAAAACAGCAGTCTTCTCTACACTGCTTCTTCCCAAATCACATTCAGAAGGTGAGCATGGGAAGGAAAGAAGCAATCTTACAGCCACTGATACATACTGATGTAAACCTGACATAAATCAGTATGTATCTTTGACCTACTGACTCTTAGTTGTCAGTGGTAGGGCAGTATATCCCTACTTCTGGATTGCATCTGGAAATAAAAGCAAAGCAAAAGCAAAGCGTGCTGCTTATATACCGCCCCATAGTGCTTCAAGCACTTTCTGGGCAGTTTACAAGTTAATTATGCAGGCTACACATTGCTCCCCCCCCCAGCAAGCTGGGTACTCATTTTACCGACCTCGGAAGGATAGAAGGCTGAGTCAACCTTGAGCCGGCTACCTGGGATTGAACCCCAGGTCTTGAGCACAATTCTGACTGCAGTACAGTTTGCATCTTCCCTTTTGTTAAATTACTGATGACAAGCACTAGTGCATAAATCACAGTGCAGTAAAGAAATCTATAGATCCTCACTTAAAGAGGCCTTAGAGAATGTACTGAATTTTAACTGATGCACATACCTATTGCTGTGCATTAGTAGTCAGAATGACACACCAGAAGTGGTCTGAATTGTGTCCATACTATTTCTGTTAATGGATAATGATGGATCTATACTTCCTAAAAGGAGGTAGCACAACTGTGGCTGCTGACCATCACAGTAGAAAGTTCAACAAAGGAATAAAGATGGGGGTCAATATTCCAGTGCTATTCAAATTTAAAAATTAGACAAAAAAACAAACAAAACCAGAGAGATGATTATAACCCCACTAAAGACTGGAGAATTCTCATTTCCTGTAATATGTAATCAGAGTGTACACCCAGTGATATTTCAGACCAGCATTACTGAGAACCCCTGCTTTAGCCTACAGAGCAGACGGAAGAGCACAGCTCCGGTGCCAGGCAGGTGACTAAAGGCTTGACCATATACCGTCACCTGTACGCCTTTCTCCCCTCACCCAAATATGTCAGAACCTCCCTCTGTGTAGAGTCCATGCCCCAGTGTGGCACCAATGATATATGGTGCATTGAAAGAGATATGGTCTATACACATCTTCATAGTGGCTTATAATGGTGCATGGGTAGGGCTTTGATATTGTGGGCTTAGGTTCTCCCCACATCTTGGACCACTAGGCATCATCACATCTTTCTTTATCCCTCCCTCTTCTAATTCCATCTCCTTTCTTAATTATTCAGTTCAGATCCTTTTTCACTTTGGACCCTTCCGTGTACCAGTTTGATGCCAAGAGGCAGATGCCTCCCTCCCCATCTTTGTACACGAAGTATCCTCATGCCCCCCCCCTGTCCTTCCAACCCCTTAACACACAAAGACTATAACATTGCTAAAGCTGGTATATAAGCTAGTGGTACTTACATGGCAGAATGTAGGGAGGCATGAGGAAGGAGACACACAAGGAAGCCATGCGGGAGGGAAAAAAAAGAAACAGAAAGAAAAGAACAGAAAAGAAAAAAAAGAAAGAACAAATGGGTTAATCAATCAGTTCTGTTTTTGTGGGGAAATGAGGCAGCTGCATTTCATATTGATTCTGCAAGGGGAAAGGGAATGCAGATTGATAGATAGACAAACCACTTTCATTTCCTGGGGATCAGTGATGAAATCTGATGGAGCTCTGCAGAACAAGGCTATGTTAAGGTCCATTCCTACAAACAAGTTTCTTCAATGAAGATGGAAGGTTAGGCTGGCGAGCTGGCTGACATTGCTAGAACTGTTCCTCACCTGCATTCCATTTAAAAAACCCAACCTGTTAAAACACCTGGATTTGGTGCATGCTTCTTCCCAGAAATTATTCATCTCCATCTGCCAGCTGGCAAAGCTCGGTGCCACTTCCTGCCAGTTCCACATCTCCTTCTACTAAAATTCCTCCTTTGTTTACTATGCCACTGATTATGCTGTTTCTTTCTTTCTTTCTTTCTTTCTTTCTTTCTTTCTTTCTTTCTTTCTTTCTTTCTTTCTTTCTTTCTTTCTTTCTTTCTTTCTTGTCTATAATTATTCCATATGGACTTTGATTTTCCTGCCAGAGTACTAATGAGACACTGTACAGTAATTTCAGAGACTATGGTGCTGCAGGAATGGCAAAAAGAACGCTCACACCATAGTTCAACCAGCACAGGGTGACATGGTTCTGTGAGCTTCTGAATAACACAGGGCTACTTATCAGCACAGTATCAATTCTGTCAAAAACATGCCTTGAGTAGAATTTGGAAGTGTTAATCCTGGCTGCAGGATTGTGGGCCACTATAACCTAAGAAGTAATTGCCCAAGGTATGATCTTGAACTTGCAACTGGAGCAAGCTGGGGACAAGAAAAAGAACAGACTGGAGATTCCAGACTATTTTTCCAACTCTAGTTTGGCAGATAGCTCAGTAAGTTTAGGCATCTGGCTGCAGAGCCAGAGGCTGCAAGTTCAATTCCCCACTGGGCCTCCTTGACAGAGGCTGGACTAGATGATCCACAGGGTCCCTTCCAGCTTTCGGGTTCAAAGGCTGTTCAAAGGTTATCTACTCTGCAACTCTCTATAGTTATTTTATATCAAGGTTCATGTTGCAGTTGAAGAATCTAAGATATCTGAGTACAGTACTCAGAAATGGGCCCATTATAGACCAATACAGTGGGGTCTTGACTTGAGAACTTAATCCGTATTGGAAGGCGGTTCTCAAGTCAAAAAGTTCTCAGGTCAAATCTGCACTTTTCACTGGCCAACAGTTAACTGAAAGTTCAAATTTTGCACTTTCCCTGCCTCCCACGTGGTTTTTTTTCAGTTCTTAACTCAAATCTAAGTATGTAAGTCAAGTCAATATTTTCCTATGAGAGTGGTTCTTAAGTCAAAATGTTCTTAACTCGAGCCGTTCTTAAGTCAAGACCCCACTGTATTATAATTCACATACATTACATGACTTAGTTATGTATATAATATTGGTTTTCCATTTGAAATAATCTCACAGTATAAACTAGAGCTGAGCAAAACTGGTAAGTCTCTGCCATATATTGTATATGAAGAGTAAAATTTCACCCGGGGTCATATATTCTTTGAGAGGACGGTGTATACTTCTAACATTTTCGGGTGGCATCTATTTTCCATGTTATTCATGAGGAGCCCATTTTCCAAATCTTCTCTAGGAAAGATGAGGAATGTCCCGCTGCTATGAAGGAATTTGAAAGAGAGAAAAATTCTACAAAAGATAAATCACCTCCGTTCTAAGATAAAGGAAATGTTTAAGACTACTGTTACAGTTTAGATTTAGTTCAACTGTAGTTGGGAACTGTAGTTTTGTGTGGACAGATGGGAAAACACTGAACCATGAACCATAAAAAAATGATGCATCAGTAGACTTCGGTCTAGATGGGCGGGGGTATAAATTTAATAAATAAATAAATTGGTTCATGGTTCAGTTGGCGAACCAGTCTGGGGATCCTGTTTTGTTGGGGGGGGGAAGCAAAAAAAACTTCCCCCCCTCAGTGCTTCATTCTGCTTTGCAAACACACCTGTCCGACCACCACCTCCCCACTGCCCCTGTTGCCTCCCTATTTGGTCCTGCTGTCACTGCCATCACCATCAGAGACAGTGGGGCTAAATTCCCTTCCAGGAACCCAGGCTGCTACCTCTGTGTTCATGCATGTGCTGCCCAGCTGATTGGATGATCCTCCCTGGCATGAGGGGTTCACGATAGTTCATGGTTTGTAGGTCGCCATGAGCCATCACAAATCACTGTTTTCCTGGTTCGTGCCCATCTCTATCGGTGATGGCTTTCTCAGTAACCTCATTAAAGCCTAAGTCCTCGAATGAATTATTTTGGGATTGGTGAAGATCTCTGAGGGTAGGAGCCCTTCATAAGGATTTGATAACTGTGCACACAGTGTCTGGGAGGAGGAGATCTGGAACTGGATAATGTGGCTCTGAGATATCAGATGTGACATGATGGAGAGGAGGAGACTAACCAGACCCTCAACTCACTTTGGAATTGGTGCCGTCCTCCATGCAAATCGGACAGGGAAACAGGCAATGCATAAGAAAGGGTGGTAAGTGGAAAGGAAAGAGGTTGCATTACGGGAGGCCCGAGCAGATGTGACATACAGCAAGAACAATACTGACCTTGGAATAAAGTTGAGCTTGTGGGCTCACTTATTTCTAAACCAGGTGAGGAAACAATGGAAGAGAAAAAAAATGAAGATAAAAATAAAAATAAATATATTGTTTCATAATTACCACTCCGTGAACACACTGCCGTGTAAATAAGAAATGGGATGAAGGTATGTGTGTGTCTGTGGCAAGGGTGGGGTGGGGTGGGGTCTGTGAACAGGCATACTTTCTGAAAGTGAACAAAGTGAAGCATGGAAGGGAAATGGGCAAGATGACTCCATGAATACTCTTTAATTTATGTCAGCCTTGCAAAACAGCTCGTCCTTGATAAGAGAGTAACCTAGAGGTGAATGTTCAAACAATCAGCTCCTTGGTTTACACATCTAGAGGTTTGATTTCTTGATATTAATAGACACATTGTTGGCTGCTAGGACGACTTTTGGAGAATGCTTCAGAAGCGCAGCTGAATCCACAGGATGATTAACAATCTTCAATAGAAGCGCACCCAAAGGCTACACTAATCTTTTTTTTTAAAAAAAGAGGGGAGGAAGGGAGGCAGAAATGCTTTACATCTCTTGAAGAGAGAGAGAGAGAGAGGAGGAAGGGAGGCAGAAATGCTTTGCATCTCTTGATTCTATTGTTTTTCCCTTTCAGCGAATCCCTTCACTTGCATCTTCCAAGCGGTTTCCAACTCCACGTTTCCAAACCCAATGGGTAAAAGTGTCCAAAGGGAGTTTCAGGAGAAAAGGGGGATACTTAAGGTAATACTTTCCCCTCTGCCGCTTCTTTTCTGCAGCTCTTAATTTCCTCCGAGCAGAAGCAACGTGGCTGCGGGAGGAAAATTTACATTCTAGCTCAGCTCCTTCAGAGGATGACACCCTCATTAAGTAAATGCATTGAAGTGGAAGACTGAATTGACTTAGGATGGCTTTCTAAACTATTATCCACCATCCCCTCTTTCAAAAATTATTTTTAAAAGGCTCCTTCTGTGCTGGATGTGACCCGTGATTATATTGGGGCGGGGTGGGGGCAGACATTTGCCTCTGTAGTCCACTGAGATTGCCCACTCTTTAAGCGACCACATTGCAATGCTTTCTC